TTCAACCACTAACCCGACCCTCAGGTTCAATATCTTGAGCTTCTCCACAGCTGTGTTGAAGCAATAACCGAGGGTATCCACGACTTCTTATTTGAGCATGCGACTCCGTGCAATTAGATCTCTCCTGGTCGAGAGGGCTTTCTCCTCGTCGGTCTCTTTGTCAGCAGACGCCATAATCCCCTCTAGCTCTTTTACTCTAGCGACCAGTCGCTCTTTATCTTTATTCGCATCTTCCAGCTGAGGCCACAACTCATTCAGATGTTTAAGGAGTTGAACATGGGCCTCATACTTCGTTTAGTGGTTGAGGATTTCGCCCTTCAGCTTTTCATTTATCCCTTGCAGCTTCTGGATCCGTGCATGCACTTTGTCAAGAGTGACCTGAGAGCCCGCAGCCTCGTCATTCAATATCAAAGCCGTTTCGAGAACCCTCATCACAACTGCCACATCATCCGACAAGTTTTTCCGCTGAGTTTCCTTATCTTCAGGAAAGATAGCTTCCCTTTCCTTCTCATGAAGACCTAGAGAACTATCCCCGTTGAAAATATCACAGTTGAAATAATAGGGAGGCAACATGAAAACTGCCCCGACTCCCTTATCACCTTTGGGCACTATTCGCTCGGGATCCTCTACACGCTTCCTCTTCACCGGTGGCTCGGGAGGAGGAACCTGTGTCTTTGAATAAGAAGGGGAACCACTCGCTCAGGAGGAAGTTTTTACCTGCTCCTGAAGTTGAGCAACCCTATTCTTAGGCCCCAAGTTGGATGCATTCTTGGGCCTCAATTTTAGTAAATGCTCAGAAACGGGCGTCATCCAACCTGCAAGCAAAAGGAAACCATTAGTCATGGGTCAAACATACAAAGATAAAATCACAAGCATATCCCCTACCTAAAATACTCAAATCTTCCTCGCCTGAAGAACATTCGAGCAATATTTTTGTATTAATCAGTCTGTGAACGAGGAGATACTCCCCTTTATCATAAAAAAGGAAGTTGTTGTCCACGTCCACGCATCTCGCCGATGAGAAAATCTTGACATAAGCCTCCAGCTTCTCATAGGAAAGCTGATCCTGGGCATCCAAGTCCTCAGGTTTCACCGCGTAATACTTGGGATTTTGCTCGAAATGTTTCCACTGCCATTCAAGAGGAAGTCTAGTTGTCAGCTGGACTACTGACCGACCTTCCTCAATCTCTTCCGAGCAATTGTACAAGAAAGCTAGGACCGCATCTATAAGAGGATTCACGAAGAAGTATCTCTATTTAAAGTGGTGAACAAATTCGAGATACGGCCGGAATAGTTTTCCAAACTGTTTAAACACACCCAGGCTTGTCCCCCTCTGATGGACTGCCTTTGCAAGTGGAAGATGCGAAAGAAGAGGGGCAATGTGGCGCGTATTTAAAGATATTAACATACAAGCTTGAATTCACGCATGAACGCAAGCGTATTCGATGAAGCTGGGAAGGTGCCAATTGTAACCATTGGAAAACCCCCACTTAGAAGTCATTGAATGGAAAACGCATCCCCTCCTCCTTAAAAGCAAATTCATACATGGGAAAGGGTTTTTCCCGGGTATGAAGAACATATCCTCATGTTTCGGTGAGGGATTTGAAGAGCCCAATTGACGAGGGCACCCTCAGCTCAAACCTCTGGGCAGTTGAACGCGTCAGAAGCGTCATGCGAGAAACACGACCTTTTGTTCCTAGGCTCGAGCGCAACCCAGGCCATAGAGTCCTTTTGATGAACATCCAAGAAGATTCATTGCAGAACCCATGAATATTCATCCAGGATTCATTTGTTCAAGACAAAAACTAAGTGTTTATTCTAAAAATTCTGAGAAAAAGCATTATCAAAGAGATATAACTTACTTGGATGAAGAATGTCTTTGAATAATTCTACGATGGCGCTAGAAGGAGGTGATCCACGAGCGAATGAAGAAAAGTGAAGAAGAGAGCTTAAAAATGATAAATGAGCCTCTGGATTCCCCTTTTCATATATGGTTCACACCCCACGAGACAACACGCGAAAAGTCATCATTACTTAGGACATTTTGAACTCCCTTACGAAAAGATGACACCCTAAAACAACTGCCACGTGGGATTGACAAGAAGCCAAGTGCCCACTCTTGAAGGCAAACTTATCCCCGACTTCACTACGAAATATTGTATACGAGCATGTTGATGATGTTTCACGCTTAGTGACGGGCAAACGCGTGACCCCGTGACTAAACTTTACATAGGGGCACATTTATGCCTTTTCACTCGCGGAGGCGAGGTAAATGCTCAACATTTTAGTGACATCTTGTGGACGGACACGTCAAAAAAGAAAACTCATGGAAACTCCTCGCCTCCTATGGTTATATATTCCCGACGGGAACCAAACAAATAATATCAGAGCCAAAGTCGATCAATGCATTACCCACGAATCTGGTCGACCATGTCGTACGGATATATTTTGAATCCTCGACACAAGTCGAGTTATCCCCGACGAAGGTGGTCAATTTCCCCGACAGTGAAGTTGAACTTAAGTCATCACCCTTTCACCTAAGGGCAATAACTTAGGGGCTTCTGTTCTGGACTGGGCTAGCACTTGCCCCACCGTTGGGGAGATCCAATCCAGCATATTTACCAAAGGCCCAAAAACATGCAACTCAAGTTGAGGACCGTTGGGCATTTCCCCACGTGTCCATTAGGGGAACGTAGCTCACGTATCCATATAATCATCATCCTGCCCTCCGAGAATAACAGGTCTAACTCCTGCTTTCTCGGGGAAATTGACCAGGGAGGAGGCCACGTGCTGGACTCCATACACACGTAAACCCTGTTAATCTTCGTTGTTGGGCCTCATTGTGCCCCATCACTGAAGACCTTGGCCCAGCGCTGGGGGTTATAAATACCATCTCACTTGAGAGGGTCAAATATTCATTCATTCACTCTTATACTCATACTTGCTTGCATTTGCTCTAAACCTCACTTTGACATCAGAGTGTCTTGCAGGTACCCCCATCCACTTAACGTTTAACTGTTGCTCAACTCGAAACTTGTGGGCTTTGACAACAATCTCGTCTAGTCAGATACGATATATATATATATATATATATATATATATATATATATATATATATATATATATATATATATATATATATATATATATATATATATATATATATATATATATATATATATATATATATATATATATATATATATATATATATATATATATATATATATATATATATATATATATATATATATATATATATATATATATATATATATATATATATATATATATATATATATAATAGTTTTTGCATTGTATAATTATATTTGTGTCGATTAACAAGAAAATATAATATTTAATGTTTTTTTAACAACATTCAAATTACATACTTACTAATGAATTTAGAGATAGTGTTGCTAAAGTTTGTGAAATATTAAGAGATTATCAAGACGATGAAGATTCGTAATAATCTTGGAGTTTTACTGTAAAATAAATAATAAACTTTTTTTAATTATTATTTTAGATTAATATAATTGAATTCAAAATCATAATGATGTTATTTTATATATCTCATTAAATTTATATGTAAATATTATTATATAAGTTCATTTAAAAATTTATATATAATTGTTCAATATATTTTGTTGTTATTTTAATTTTAATATATATTAATATTTTTTTGCATGTGTTTGCTAATATATTTATTTTTATTTTATAAAAATTAATTTAGTTATATAATACAATAATTTATTGAGACTATCAATTTTTTATTTAAGAATATACTTTTATGTTATTTTGTATTTATCAGCTAATATAACAACTAATTTACTAAATTCAAATTAACTTATCAGCTGTCAACTATCAGTTATCAGATATCAGCTACAAGTCATCAACTACGAGCTAGTTTTATCAAACAGATCCTTAGAAAAAAATTGTCTCAAAATGTTTGTCAGTTAAGATTACATATACAATTTTATATTTAATCTTTTAATTATATCCTCTAATAAATACTCTTAATTTATTATTTTCTCACTTAATATTAATATTAATTTAAACACACCAATAGTTAATAAAGATAATTTAATAAAATTATTATTATATCTCTTTTATTTATTATTATTTCTTAATCAATATAAAATGATCAATGGTGACAAATAATATGGAGTAGAAGGAGTAGTATGTATTTATATAAATATTAAGACAATATAGATAATGTTTTCAAATAACTTTTTATTATATATTTTTAAAAAAGTAAAATAATAGAATGTTTTATTATTATCATAAATGAAAATCAAAATACACTTCATATTAATTAGTTTATATAACAATTATCAAAGAAATGAATGTTGATAAATGACAAAGAAATTCATTTAAAAACAGAATAAATATTAATTTATAAACCAAAACAAAGGTTTTGATAATTCTAATTTAGGCATACTCCTAGTTATGTTATCTTTTTTTTTTTTTAAATATATATATGAATTAATTAAATATCTTTTCTAAAGGAGGTAAATTTTTAAAATTATGTCCATTATTAAAAAAAAAATGCTAATAAAAAAAACAAAACAAAAATAATTGTTGAAGAATTATTACTTGTTAATGAACCCAATTTTATGACTATGATTAGTATGCATGACAAAATTCATCTTAAGAATCTTCATCGTACGTTTCCAATCTTGAGAACGTGTTTCTCAAGATTTAAATTTATTACAATGAATAGAGATTTATTTTCTATCACAAAAATCAGTATCATTAATTTCCTTTGTCTTTTTGAATATATTCTGATTTCACCATCAATCCAAAACAAATACCAGTATAAACTAGAAAAAACAAAATCCAACTATCATAAAAATTCTATATGAACTCTCCCAAACAAACAAAGGGAGCAAAAACAAAAAACAAAAACAAAAAAAAAATAATATCATCCCCTCACAAAATTCCCTATATACAAAACCAAATCAATTTCCAATATATCTTCAATATATAATCAATTCAATTCAAGATTTTGTTGTTGGCTGAAACTTTGATTTTCCAAAAGGAAATCCAACATTAACCTTTGAAGTCGAATCATCACTAGTTTTGTTGTTAGCATTGATAGTAGCACTTGTATTATTAGTGACGGAAGAAGTTGCTGTAGAATTCGTCGCAACACGTTCACAAGAAGGACACATAGTTAAAGTTGTTGCTGGTAATTGCATGTTGAATGGATTTGAAGTTTTTAAAGCTCTTAATTCTTGAAGCTCCTTGTGTAGTCTTCTATTCTCTTCTGTTAGTGTCTCACAACATCTCTTTAAATATTCACAATCTACTTCTGTTTGCTTCAACTTTGTCCTACATTTAGATCAACACATAAAATCAATTATCATGATACTAAAATGTTTGTTGATGATAAAAAATTCTAAAACAGTATGCACCTTGCTCTTCTGTTTTGGAACCAGACTTCTACTTGACGAGGTCGAAGATTCAGTTGTTTTGCAAGAGCAAGTTTTTGTTTCTACAACACAATTGTTTCCAAATATTAAACCAACAAAAAAAGAAAACAAATTGGTGTCACATGTAAGTGTTTATAAAGCGCGCGCAACTGCTGAGACTAATCTCTGGATCAGAGAAAAAAACATACAGGATTAAGAGTGTGGTGTTCTTTGAAGCTTTCTTCAAGAAAAGCAGATTGATCTTTTGAGAGCCTAAGTTTCTTCCTAGTGTTTCCAACGCCACTGTTATCATCTTCATCACTAACTCTTGAAGAATTTCTTTGATCATAACCTTCACCATCGCCTGAGCCACTCAAACTCCCACCACCGCCACCACCACCACCACAACCACTTCCACCTCTACTGTATATACAGAGATCCATCTGAAAAGACGATGCTGCGCTGTTAGGTGACGATGAAAGAACAGTCTCATCTTCCGCCATAGGCACGGTGGTTATCGGTTGAACTACGTTCACCACCAAGTCCCTTGACGAAACTCCAAACTCTGTTGATTATAAAAGTTTCATTAATCTCATCATTGATTCAAAAGTTTCATCTTCTGAAAACATTGATTTTATTGTGACCCTTTAATTAATTATGAGAGAAAAACAAGAGGAAATGAAAAAGATAACATTTTGATAACTTTATAAGAAGTTGGTTATTACCATTTTGGGAAAGAGGATTCCATGGGAAGGAGAGTTGAGGAAGAAGATCAAGTTGATGCAAATTTTCAGTTCTAGTGTTTTGTTCTTCTTGTTGAAGTTGATCTCTTTGAGTAGTGATGTTTGGACCAATTGATAAAGTGGTGTTGAAGCCTAAGCCAAGTTCTTTAGAAGCTTGATGAGGGTGGCTTTCCATTAAGCCAATTAGAGGCTTTGAAGAGTCTCCTAAGGTTAAACCAAGTTCCATGATCTCTTTTTCTACTTTTGCATAGGGAAGAAGGAACAATAACAATATATAGAGATAGAGAGAGAGGGTGAAGGAATGAGGAATGTAGGTGGGGAAAGGGATTTGTAGCTTGGACTAATAAATGAAGAGGAAAAGGTTGAAAGAGAAGAGTCTTTATAATCATAGAAAATAGAGTGTCCAATGTGATCATAGCATGACCAAAATGGTCACTTTCATTGAAATAAATAAAAATTATACGTGGTGGCTATTTTCTTTTACTTAAGAATAGTGTCAATTTAAATTTAGACAAAATTATCGGATGATCATTTAAGGTTTTTTTTATTGTTTTTTAAGTTATTTAATGGTAATAAATCAATTTTTTTATGTTTTTTTTATATGTGGGTATTTTATGTTAACTAACGTCTATATTGTTGACATTTTTTTTACTTAATTTTGTTTTATTAAATTTATTTTAATTTATTTTTAACTTATAAAATTAATGTTAAATCTGTTTTTGATCCAAAAATTATGAAGAAAATTTCTAAAAATATTTCTTCTCATTTTATATTTCGTGTAATTTTCAGAGAATTTTATTTTCTATTTTACTATTTTATTTAATTTCTTTCTTTTGTATGTATTTTAATTAGTTTAAAAATATTTTTATGTATTAAAAAATTTTGAAATTTTTATTATATGATCCAATGATGATCTCTGATTTATGTTAAGTGACATATCAGTATCATTAGCGTCACTTCAACTTTTTTAAAAAGGAGTTTGGGAAAAAGGTCAACAACATTGTAGGTGTTAATTAACATAAATGATCCACATGTAGCGAAAAAAGCATACATAACTGACTTGTTATAATTAAATAACTTAAAGGACCCTGGAGTAATTTTGCCTTAAATTTAAGAATTACTTCTTCCCTTTCAAAATAGTTACCACTTTAGCAAATATTTTAGTGCTTTAAGTTAGTGTGATCCGCCTAACCAGCTTAAAAAATAGGATGGGTGATTTTGTTGTGGATTGTTTGTTAAAATTTCAAAATTAAGTTTTTTCAACAACTTGCAAATTTAATAAGAAAGTCTCAACTTGATGTTTATTTGAAAGATCCTAACTTGGATTCTTCAAAACTACCATGACTTGAATGTTCTTCAATTGTTGAAAGAGAATAGGTATTTGTTTAAAAATTTATCTTTAATGGCTCGTGACTTGTTAGGGATTCTTGTCACTAATGTTGTATTTGAATAGACTTTTACCATCTGTTATGTCATTCTTAACAAGTATAAAAGTCGTTTATTGTCGAAAAATATGGAGGCTTTGATTTATGCTCGCAATTAGCTTCACGATTTTAATGATCCATGTATATGATCATATTTAATCATAATTTTTATTGATTTATTTCATTTATATGTGATTTGTTGGCCTACATGTGATTTATTATATTATATTTTATACAATTATATAGCGTGATGACGAGGATCGAGGGGTGGTGAAAGGTTCCAACTAATTGTTATGACATCAATCAAAACTCCATATGTTTATGACATATGTGATGATTAATGTAGTGTTTATCATGGAGATTTTGAGTTGTATTTTTTTGTGTTGGTTCTTGGTTGTCTTTGTTTAGCTTGTGCTAGTTTATTTTGTCTTATTTGTGTTCTTGGATGTCCACTACTACAAAATGCATAAACAACAACGCCCAATTCATCACGGTTCTTCCCAACACCGCGGTGACATCTCTAAATATAGGCGCTAACATTTTATTTTATTTTTTATTAAAAATTGTTAGCATATAATAATTGTTATTGCCATAACCGTGGTTTTAGAATCCATGCTTTCTTGGGTTTGAACCTCAGTGCCCTCACATATAATATTCATTTAACATTAAGGCGCGTCTTTTCTATTTTATTTATTTTTAAATATAAAATAAAGGATTATATTTATATATATCACCATGGTTGATAACGTAAATCGTTATGAGTATATTTATAAATAAGTGGATTAACACCCACTCTTTGACAGTAGCGTTGTATCTTTCACAACAAAACTCTAGAATCTATTTTTCTCTTCTTTTTCATCATTAAAATTCCTATTCTACAGTATAGCCGTTAATCTTGTTCTTCTAACATAAAGGTGTTCTTCTTTTTCCTTATTCTCTTATTTTCGTGTATGTTGTTGTTATGTTTCACATGGTTTCCCTTTTATTTTCTTCTTGTTAGATATTGTATGGTTCTTTTATTGTTGTATGTTGTTGCATGTTGTGTTGTTGACAAATAAGTTTGTCGTTTAACATGTTGATAATTTTCATGGTGTTTGTAGGACTCAAGAAAAGTGAATGAAGAAACAACAACAGCAACAAACTTCATCTAGTTTGAGAAGTTTTGAGAAGAAATATAAGAAGTATGAAGCTATTGTGTTAACTTCATCCACCTTATATTTTTTCATGGCTTCACAAACTAGATGAACCTCATATGGTGATGATGATGGTGGTAGCAAGCGTATATTATGAGTTGATAAGGTACAAATTGGTTTGTGCAACAATGAAAAAAATACAAGAAGTATGAAGTCATTGTGGAAACTTCATCCACCTTGTATTTGTTTTTCGTTGCTTCACAAACTAGATGAAATTCATAGTTCCACGGTTATTTTTAATAAAAGGTGCATTCTATAAACAACTTAATATATTTTGTGATATTGTATGTTGTTAGTGTTTTGTTGTTGAAATGTATGTTTTTTATTGTGTTACATATATTTGTTGTATTGTTGTATGATGTTTTTGTTGACAAATGTTCAACACCATGTACAGATTACCATTCGATTAGATCCAATGATGAAAAATGTGGTGAATGGTGTGATCGCATGTCCTCAGCATGGATGAGGGTCCACTTGTTCTGACCACCTTATTCTTTAACATTTGTTGTTGGGCCTCCTTCATGGGCCTTGCAGAAAACCTAAAATAACCAACTCTCCTAAGTTCTTGTTTTGACGTCATAAAATGAGTGAATTTTTCAGTATCGTCTTTTGTCTGACCTCTAGTGGAAGAAAATAAAAACCCCTAATAGGACATTAATGAAATAACTAAATGAACGATCTGGTCTTTATATAGGTTAAAAATGTCTGCATATGATTCGACACCATGTGCAGATTACCATTTGATTATATCCAATGCTGAAAGATGTGATGAATGGTTTGATTGCATATCCTTGGCACGAATGAAGGTCCACTATAATAAGCCCCCCCCCCCCCAAGTCCTTGTTTCCATGTCATAAAACGAGTGGATTTTTCGATTTCGTATTATGTCCGACCTATAGTAGAAGAAAATAAAGAGCCTTAATGGGAAATTTTATGTCTTTGGGAAGAGGTCATTGAATATCTCCATCGTGATTATTAATTTTACCAGGATCAGAAGAATCTTCAGTGGCCTGTAACACTTGAGTTTCTACGATTTTTGGAGAAGAAGAGGGAGTGTACTTGTAAAATACTCTGATGCTAAAGTAAGGTTTAGAGTGAAAAGAGATCAAATATATAAGTGGTGAGAGTGAATAGAATACCTGACCCTCTAGTGAAAGAGGGTATTTATAGTGCCCCTGCACTGGGCCAAGGTTTCCATCACGGGTTGGATTTTCCAGCACACAATGGACGACTGCCAGGATCCTACGTGGGTAGGGAAGACCAGTACGCGGTATTCGTTTTAGGTAAACTGTTCTGTGATCTTTAGATGATGGGCTGACCACCTCAATTACGAAGGGCGTAACGGCTCCGAAGAGTGCGGAACACGTTGATGAAGTGTCCCCAGATGAGGGGCACGTGGATAACACATGTTCAGATTGGATCCCAAGAGATTGGGCCATCAACTGGGCCGTTGTTGGTGCGAGGGCGAATTGGGTCGTGCCCGACGTTGAGGCATGCCCGGGCCCAATTTAGAACAAGAGCCCCTCAAGTTGTTGCTCCAAGGTGAAGAAAAAGTAACGACTTAGAGTTAGCCCGCGCGTCGAGAAAGATCAAGAGGATTTACGCGAAGTGGTCCTTCGCTTGTGCTTGTGCTTGTGCTTATATACCCGTGATGGCGGTGTTCGCCTCAGACGATTTCCTTTTTATGGGCAAGCGCGTACGAGGATGGTATATTGCCTACGACTGTTAGTTTCTCATCTACTTGGGCGAGATAACACGTATGGGTCATGGTCAACAGTCCCATCTGCTCGCGTCCCATGTTTTAAACTCAGTCCAGCTCGGGAATTATCATGATGCCCATAACTTATCTTCGTTGTTTCCTCAGAGATGGTTCCCCCGGGGATGTGCTTTTTGACAGAACACAACTTTTTTATTTGTGTTCGACACCCTGGGATCTGAGGGGATATGAAGGTCTTGGGAAGACAAATGATATATTTCTTGAGCCACACGTCATAACATTTAATGGGAAATCATGGCCTAGACGTAGGGTTATGACGACTTAGGAGTAGGGGTAATGATGTGCCTTTTCGAAGACACACCTTTCCGTGCGCTGTCACATTTTTCGTGTAAGGAGAGTTGGCTATAAATACCTGCAAATGGGTGCCATTTGCATCTTTTCTCCTTACGACAAATTAATCTTCTCTCTCCTACCCCTCTTTAGACCTCCGACTCTCAGAGTGTCCTTCCGTCGTTGCTGCCGCCGGAACGTCACCAACTTCTGTTTTCTTCTTCAATCCAGTAAGTTTCCTCTCCTTTGTCTTCATTTTTCATGAATTTTAGGCTAGTAAAACTTAGGGTATGCTTGATTTCTGGTGAAGTTCATATGTCGAGGAGGTTTCTCCTTGCGAAACTCATGAATTCATGATAAAGTTCATGTGACGGGGAGACCTTTGCCTGCAAAATTCATGAGTTCATGATGAAGTTTATGTGACGGGGAGGCTTTTCCCCGCGAAACTCATGAATCCATGATGAAGTTCATGTGTTAGGGGCATGTTTCCCCATGATATTCATGGATTTATGATATAGTTCATGTGCGGGGGCGTGTTTCCCCGTGAAACTCATGATATCAC